GCCGTTCGCGACATGAATTGCGTGGAATCCAACAACCTCTAAAAAGGTAGTCGAACATCACTGAAGAGAAAAAAGAGGAGCAACGCGTTTGGATTGATATCGAGGTCGAGGCTGCTGGTGGGGGCGACGGAAGTGATAAAAGGTGCACGTGGATATCTGTTCGAAGAAATCAAAAGTGTATATTGATCAATCTCTGGTTCTCTTTCTCTTCTTGGTTTAACACTTCGGTCGAATTGTTATGGCAAATATAGGATGAATTACATTCGAGTTAGATTCCTTCAACGTTGGAAACAGGAATAAAACAGTCTATTTCATAAATGTGATTCGTTAACATGTAAAAAAAATATTTTTGGAAATATCAAAGACACGGTTGAATTAAGTTTATTTGTAAACTTGTACGAGTTGAAGTTTTTAATTTTTAAAGTTTCGGCAAGTAGTTGGATCTAGTCCTCGACGAGAATGCATCTGAAGTACGTGATCGTGATCGTGTGTTTCTTCGTGGCGCGTGCAAATTCTCGGCTCTTCGTTTTGAAGAATTTGGAGAAATATTCGAGGATCTTTAATCTTGGTGGTTTATGGGTGAACAAGACCGGGAATGAATTATGGGACGGGTTAATCAGGGACTGCGATCGGTCAATTACGTTCTCTTGCATACAGAAGAACGCATACACTTATCTGGATCATGTTTTCGAGGAACGAGACAACATCACGGTGTTCGATGGTTTGACCATGACTAAGAACAAATTGGATTACGGTACCTGCCGCAGGAATTTGAAGGAAAATTATCAAGATTCCATGGATGAGAATCTTGTGGATGGATCTATCAAGGATGACTGCAACGAAGAGGAAAGTGAGGACGAAAGGGATCGACAATTTGACGAAAAGCAATCACCTTTGGAAGAAGTGACTGATGCGTTGAGGAAGAAGACGGTGAAATTTCTCGCGACTAGAGATTACGAGATCCAATTACCCGATTTTTTCTTCGAAGGTGCCACGATTAAACTGAGCCCTCGTGAGGTTGACGAAAATGGCGCCCTGGTCAGAGTGGATTTTGGTCAGAATGGAATGGAGAACCAAGGACGACTCTTTTTCAAAAAAATTAGTACGATTCTTTATAACGCAATAATAGATTACGTGGATGTTTGTGTAAATTTAAATTTTTTATGTATAATTATAGAAATGAAATTGACATATATATATATATACATAAACTTTTCAACGATAAAAATTTGCTTAAAATTTTCCACAATTTGATCAATGTTGTTCGTATTTTTAGAGAAATTCATACAGAACAAATTGTTGACGAGCTTTCTGGCCCTGCTGCTGATCATCAAATTAATCAAATTGAAGTTCATGTTCGTGATACCATTTTTATTCGGCGTGGGTACCGCGAAGAAATTGTTCCTCAAGCTGCTGCTCTTCTTCATACCGGCATTCGCGCATGTATTTAAATTATGCTCGAGCTATTACTCGACGCATGGCACGAAGTATCACCATCATCATCACCAGGTAATCATTAAATCCATTTCGATGTCATCTGGCGAATGACTTCTCGAATAATAACCACATTAATATTCCATTTTTATTTTAGATATCTCATCATCATCACCATGTCCCGGTTCCGGTACCAGTTCCAACCTACTACAGCCACCGTCATCACAATGAATTCGACGGTTACGATTACGCCCATCCTCACATTCAATATCGAAAAGATATCGAGGAATTGAAGGAATGGGGTATAGAGCCTTACGAAGAACCGTACGAAGTTCAAACAGAGCCCATAGGAGGTGGCACAGCCCATCCTCCTGGTGTGCTTCCAGCGTCATTTCCAGCGCCCACTTACTCCGGACCGTATAGCGTCTCTCAGTACGCGTCGAACGTTCAATCGCTACCGTCTCCATATCTGGAGAAGCATCCACAAGTGTCGGCTCATAATTTAGCTTATTCCGCGTACGCTGATAACCGTCGAACGAATTCCGCACCAGTGGTCAACGTTCCTTTGAATCCTGCTAACTTGCCCACCACTTTGCTGCCAACCGCGACAAATGTAAAGGCGTACACCTCATTTGGACAAACGCAGAATGTTAATAGGCAAGGTTCCACGAAAAGCAATCAGATAGAGTCGAAGATAACAGTTGGCACTCGGCGATCAGAGTACGACGATGACTTTTATGGACCGATAATTAACAGGCTAGAGGACATATTCAAGCAATTGAGATTCGTGGATGAGCCTTGTAGAGAAAGACTCGTGTGCAGCATGTACAAGAACCCGGCGGTTTATTCGCCGCACAGCAACCTCGTTTCGAACGAGTTGTCCAGGTAGGAGAGGATGAAAAATGAAGATTAACCGATAATTATTAATGTTTAGAAGAAGTTGGTTCAACGTTGGAAAGCGTGGAAACGGGGACGTGGTTATTTGGTTTTTGTCCGTCCTTGGTCAAATAGTTTCACGAACAATATTGAGATGATTGATTCTTTTGTCTTCTTCCCCGTCTCGATTTTTCTGATATTAATTACGTGTTCATCGATTCGCATCGCATTCGAATTCGATCGGTTTCGGCGTTAATTATGAGGAGAAAGGTAGCCATCGTTCTGAATCGCTCGAATCAGAACGTTGAATCACATTCCTCTCGGACTTGATTCTTTTTCTTTTTATATTCTTTCCGTTGGCCATTCTCCGGCAACGTTAAACGTTGTTCACGAAACAAGCATTCGCTGTACAAGAATCATTAATCCCAGTAGTATGTTATGATAAATCGAAGCTAAATATTCTCTTTTATCAATTATTAGTGATAAATAATATGTTATAAAAAGAGATCAATTTTGAGAGGAAATGAAAAAGAGGAATTCAGAAGAAGGCATTCAATTTCTCGAATTCGAAATTCTCCATTATAAAGTTACGAACAAGAATTAAATTAAAAAAAATCGTTTATTAACAATTGACTACGTGTATACAATTATTAATGTAACATTAAAAGAGAGTGTAATATTAATTCGTTAGTGTGTGTATCCGCTAAATGGCGAAAGTATCACACATGTTGACTCGACGCAAATATTGGCAGAAGAAAGAGGGTCAGGGTTTAATATGATTGTCGCTTGATTTCTATGTCAAGAGATTGTTAACGGAGACAATTTTTTTTTTTTTTCAGAGATCCGCAGGAGTTGAAACACACTGGGACCGAAAGCTCATCCAGCCAGAAATTTCATAGATATCTCGAAGCGGCCAGACTTGGGCAAGATGGTGGAGATTGTTTAAGAACGTATCCATGCCATATAAATACCGAATAAATCGGGTGTAAATTTTGTAACGATTTGCAATAGGCTATGTAACGCGCTAAACTAGGCATCGAAATCTCCGTGTGAGATTGGCTGGTTTATTCCGCTAGATTATTATTTAGGTTATTTATTTGTGTCAGGGTCACGATTCTTCGAGTGGAAGTATGATGTCGAATGATTTTATACATTTAAATATTTTTAGAAAGATAAAAACGCGATATTATTTTAAAGAAACGCTTTGATCGTTTTTTGGAAGGTTTATCTTAAAATTTGAAAAGTTTATCGCAAAATTAGTATAGAATTTTCGATAAATAATATTATTTTATATATTATACGAATGGGGGGCTTTATCTGATTTGCACTCGTGGCAACATCAAATGGAATTTAATGTGATGGATATTATAAGTCGAATGGAATGGGCTTCCTGTTCGAATACATTATAAATGTAAATATCTACAAGATTTTTTTCAAAGTTACAAGAATATTTTTTAGCGTTTATGTTCAGTCTTGGATATCGTCCGGAGCTGGATAATATTTTCTGATGAAATGTCAAATTTCGTAGCTTTGACACTTTGTCAGAAAAGAAACTCCTAGTGATAATTCTTGTAACTTTATTGTTGTTTGTACGAATTGTACATTTTTCCCGGATATTAAATTAAATAAAGATAACTTCTCCTAAGATATTTTTAAATCCATATATCGTTGTGTAAAATATACAAAATGTAATTTATATTTAATATATAAGTAACTTATTGCAATGAGTATATTTTTAAAAAATAAACTCTTAACGTAAATATTTATTTATTTTTTAAATACGATCGTTTATTGTTACGTTCTCGGGTGCCATACCCAGTTATTACTGTAGTTATTATCTATGCATAAATAACTCGATTACGTTTAGATTGTAAGTTATTTATTGTACAAAAACGATTCACACTTCGATGTTACTATCTCGAAGTTGTATTGTTCGTAATAAATAATGTAAAAAAAGGACAACTATCACTGTTTCATACCTTATATCATTAAAATAAAATTATCAAAAAAAAATTATTTATACTTACGTTTTTATATATTTCGAAGAAAGATAAAATTGCATAATCGTGATTACATATAAAACTTGAATAACCATAAAAAGTATAACCAATTTACACTCTCGATTGAATCTCGTTCAAGAAAACGAGCGATCCATCATCCCCATTCACGAATCTTGAGCCAAATCACCGTATAAAATCACTTTCTATCCAATCTCTATCTTCGTTCATTCCTCCCTCATAAATCAATTTTTACTTTCATTCCATTCTCTTCTCACGACCGACACCTCGAGCAATTTCACTTTGTCGTTCGTTCGTCGTTTTTTCTCCACCAATGGACGATCAATCGCGCTATACGTTTTCTTTCCTTTTTTTTTTTTCTTTCTTTTTTTTTTTACCACTTCGAATCATCCAAATCGAACGAAAGAAAATCTTCTGGCCACGATTTTTTTTTTTGGGGCCAGACACGAACGACCGGAAATCGTGGGTGTCGAAACGTACGAGAATCGTATCGCAGAGCCCGTGAAAACATCGTCACCCTAGATAACGAGGCTTTCTTCTTTCCTTTCAGCCGGGCACACGTCCCTGATCAAAATTCATCGGCCGTACGTGGCTTCCATCGGCTATAAAACCGCGTTGTCTTCGTTCGAGCCGGCATTCGGTGTTTAGCCTCGCAAATCGGTGGGTACCGTCATGAAGTTCACAACGTTCCTCGCGTCTCTCGCCCTTATGGCCGCCCTCGCCAACGCGCAGAGGGCCGAGACCACTGCCGACGCCCTTCGACACATTTATTACAGGTGAGGGGACAGAAACGAAATTAATTAAGAAAAAAATCTATAAGGTAAGATTCATAAAGAATAACATTTCATTTTGCAGATGCATAGACAACGAGTCCATGTTGTCCTGCGCGAAGCCCAAAGTCCTGGCCTACCTTAGCCAAGCGGCGAAACAAGACAGGCTTGCCATCACGGAAGACTTGGCGCTGGTAAAGTCCAGAGACATGCCCGAGGAAAACAGCGAGGATTACTACCCCGCTCAATACGACTCCGTGGACCCTGCAAGGAAGGAGCTCTTGAGGTCCTTGATGTTGGAGAAACTGGACGCGTATCTGTCGAGCCACCAGCTGGAGGCTAAGTTGCCGGAAGCCATCGTTGGGTCCAATATCGTGCCAAGATCCCTGGTGGACAGTATGCCAAGAAGCTTGACGGTACCTCTTTCCGACTCCTCGAGCAACGGTCAAGGTGAAACTTCAATTTAGATTCTCGATTTTAGAATTTAATTTGCAATAGAATTGTTAAACGAGGTGGACAAATTTTTTTAATACGATTTTTTTTAATTAATTAATTTATTGCACAATTATTTCATCATTGAAAATGGAACAGGTCGTGGATTCGTCAAGAAGGTGATGATACCATTCCTGTTGGGCCTGAAGTTCAAGGCCACAGCTTTGGTCCCGCTAGCCCTTGCCCTGATCGCCCTGAAAACGTGGAAAGCTCTCACCTTGGGCCTCCTCTCGTTGGTGCTAAGCGGTGCGATGATGATCTTCAAGCTGACGAAACCCAAGGTCGCCTACGAGGTAGTGCATTACGGACACCCACCTGTCGAACATCCACCTCACTGGGAGACCTCGGCCCACGGACCCTACAGGGCGTACAGGAAATAGATTGAAACTCAAACTTCCCTCTTCCCTCTCCCCCGCATCCCTCCTTTTTCTTTTCTAGAAAAATCGTTTTATTTAATATTTATTGACGCGCGACGACTCTGACTTTTATTTATGTATAAATAAAAATCTTCTTTCATGGTCTCATCAAAATCATCTTTGTCTGTCTCTCCGTATCTTTCAACTCTTCGATCCAAAAAATTCGTGAAAGAGAGGAAACAAAAGATAAAAATAATAAATGAAACAAGTGAATCCACTCTCACCCTACGTTCCATCTAAGAAAGAAAGAAAGAAAGAAAGAAAGAAACTAATGGCTGCATTCGATGCTCACTTTCCTTTTTATTATTTGCCTACGCGAGGAGAATCGGTCGCAGGATCGATTTGAAAAATGGAGAAAGTGGAAAGGGTCGCTTGTGCATTCAGCACAATAGTTCCGAGTAAATCTACACTGAAGATCGAGAATAATGCCGTAAGAATAATTGGATCGATCGATTTCGGATTCGATTCTTTTTTTCTTTTCCCGAAGCAGACGTAAAAGTTCGTAAAATCGGATGCACGGACATCTTGATCTCTTCGTTCGAACGATTCAACAAACTTCCCTTCATTATTCATGATTATTCATTGTCGACGTAGCGAAAAGCTCTTTTTCTTTTATTCATCAGAATCGCGGGCAGAACCGCCGAGGCCAAAGGGGAACGCAAATGCAGAAGGAAAATGCAGGTCGTGGAAACTCGCGAAGGGAGAATTAGATTGGAAGGTGACATCGATTGACGCTACTACGTCCTGAATGCTTATGCAAACTCGACCCAAAATTCCAATTACCTGTTCATTGTTACCAGCAGTAGGAAGTCGGGCAAATGTGTCTCGTAGCAACCCCACGCGCGCATTCTCGCACGAGAAACTCGCACGCAACGTGCATTTCTGATGCGTTAGAGAAGAATCTTTGCCGAAGAATCTGTTGGAACACGTGGTTCGATTCAACTTTATCGAGGGATTTATATTTACACTTGAAATCGATCAAAACATCGCTTTTTTAAATATTCATCCATATTCCTTTAACTATGAATTTTAACGTTTTGAATTGTTATTTACACAGATATAATTCTAATAATTCTCGAACTAAATTATCTATCTAAGTTAGGAAATTTGGTTTGCTTTTTTTTTTTTTTCAGAAAAATAACGCGAAAGGGTGAAAATTGTCTGGTCGTTTGAAAGGGGAGGGGAAGGGGAGGGGAGCGCGCGAGCTAACGAGGCAAACGTGTGGAAAGTGTCGTGTTCGTGGAGCGAATGAACGATCGGTTCAATGCCAATGTTACGGTGCCATTGGTGCCAAGGATGAAGGGTCTTCTCAACTCTTCACCGGCACTGCGCACGCCACTTCCGCTTTGCTACCTGAAACGATGCTGCGTATTATAGGGGGCCAAATATTCGAAAGTTTCGTCCGTTTTATTGCGTGAGCGGATTTTTTTATCATCGACCCACGATCGAGGTTAATGAAATGATAGATTATATTTTCGATCACTTTGGAATTCGGGCAATTTCCGATCCTAGATATAGATCAATACGAGGCAAATATTCGAAAAGAAATGTTTCAACGAAACGTTAACCGTACAAATTAATTATCGGATTGATCAATCGATCGACTTTTCAATTCAATTCTTACGATTCGCTACAACTGAGTTTTGAAAACAAAATCTCCAAGTTTACGTTACTACGTAATGTTAGAAAATAATATTAAACGAGATATCATCCTACAAGCAACTATAGTGCAAAAATAATAAACATAATCTCAATCCTCAAATTGCAACCTATTTCTTCTAATTCAATATATTCTAATTACATATTAATATATAATACAATTCTAATTTCAATATATTCACCTTAAAGATTTAAAAAGTAGAAGATAATAATATCGCCAAACTTTTACTACTTAACGTTTAAAAGCGATCGTGTTCGGGATTAAATTGCACTTTACCGTGTGCAAATGAACCCCCAAAAAAGGCGAAGCGATTCGATTAAAAAGTATCGACGAAGCTCGCGGCTAATGGTAGAAAGTAAATGCGTAGGACGAAATCGTTCACGCGATAGAAATCAACTTAGGCGACGACGGAAGAATAATCTTTGAGCACCTCCCGGCACCGTTCACGAGGCTTTCGTTTCGGCTTCCTACGATCCTTGTTCACGACTCCCTTCGCATTCCCGTCACGATCGAGGCGCGAGGCCTCGATAATCGAACACCATACTGAACGAAAAGAAAATTCGTGGCCGGATGGAAGTGGGGACGTGGTGCGAGCCGTGGTGCTCCGCTACTCGGCTCAACGTCCGACGACACGGCGGCCGGGGGCTCCGTATAAATAGCCTGGTGCCCAACCCATTGGCAACAGTCGTCGTGCAATCGTCGAAACGTCGAATATTCCACCTAGAACTCGAAACAAGGAAGCCTAGTCCACCAGCCTAGCGGAAAACCATGAAGCTGTCGGTTGCGTTGTGCTCCCTCCTGGCCCTTGCCGCGGCCCAGCCGGCGAAGAACGACCTGTGGAAGGGCAGCAGCATGGATCAGATGGTCGATCAGACGAAGATCGAGTGCGCGCAGAAGAACGACGAGGTCTCTTGCATGAAGTTCAAGGTCCTCAACCTCCTCGACCAGATCTTCCGCAAGGACAGCTTCAAGGCAAGTGTCGGCTCCGGATCGATCGATCGATCGCTTCGTTGACTCGTACTCGTTTTCAAATCGGAACGATTCAACGATCCTCTCGTTATCTCTCTTCGAGTCGAAAATTTTCGAATCGTTTTAATAAACTTGATAAACCGCAGGTATCCGAAACGGTGGAGGTGACCCGGAACTCGTATCCCGTGGAAGAGGTATCCGGACGTAGCTCGGAGGGCTCGTTCTTGGACAACGTGCAGACGTACTTGACCTCTCACGACGTGACCTTCAAACTGCCGATGGACTCGTCGGTGAAGGTGAGCGCGAGGAACATCGAGGACGATCAGCTCACTTTCGACGTGAAGTTCGGGCAGGGCCGCGCCGTCGAGGAGGCCCGCAAGTCGAAGCTGAAGAAGGTGGTCATCCCGATTCTTGTGTTCGTCCTGCTCAAGGCAATGACACTGATCCCACTCGCGATCGGTGTCCTCGGCCTGAAAGCTTGGAACGCTCTTCAACTCTCGTTCTTCAGCTTTATCGTCTCCGTCGGCATGGCGATCTTCCAGCTGTGCAAGAAAATCGCCGCCGACAGCCACGGCGCATCGCTGACCGCGCACGGGCCGTGGGAGTACCAAGCTCAATATAGATCCTTGGACGAGCAGCCGTCGCCGGATTTCGCGCAGGATCTCGCTTATTCGGCGCACGCGCAATCGTAAACACACTCCCGTATCTCGTTCATCGCCGCGACTTTTGTAAAATACCTGCCTTCCTCCTCTCCTCTGTACGCTTTATTTAATAAATTATTATTGCAAATTCAAATTATCGGCAAATTCTGTCGCCTTCTTTCTTTCATCGGATGCGGATGGGATCATTTTTATATCATGTATCATATTTGAGATCTATCCTTCCTTTCCAAATTTTCTTTCGCGTTATTCGTCGCGAGAAGAATTTTTAATAATTCAGGAGAAATTCTTCTCGAGGAAATAGATATTTCAGATACCTTGAAGGTTTAATTGGACAGACATTTAGTCTGGGATTGGAAAAATTGATGATTGATGTATAAATTATGCGTGTTTAATGAATGATAATGGAACGTTCGAGGAGAAAATTATTTGTAAGAGATTTAAGAAAAACCGTTTATCGATTATAAATTAGCAATTTCTCGTTTCTAAAGTAATGATAGAAATTTCCCGGTGAAAACTAATAAGGAAGAAACTCACAAGCATAATCTGAAAGATCGATCGATCAAAGGATGATCGTCAGGATAAACGCGTAGCCCTAAGTTTCACGTTACATTACAATTACGTCTTCATTTCTGCGATCTCATATAATACAAAATCGTGTTATTACCATCGTTATCCTAATAATTATACTTGTAATCCAATTACAAGAGCAAAAATGACATCAAAAATGATTTATTCGCTAATAAAACCTTCCATTATTCGCGTCATCGAAGGATGTCAATTTTAAACGTTATTACGTTAAACGTATTTTATAGCTTAAGAGATTTAAAGAAAAATGCACGATATCAACTGTTCTGGATCTAATAGGATCCAGGTTTGTTTTTACAGGCGAATCGTAAGGGGGGGGGGGGGAAATGTGCATGTAAAATCCGTCCACAAGTGGATTCAAGTTTGTGAAACTGAACTGTGGTCCGGTTCTGCAAGGAGATTATGCCCGATAATGATCAGACGCGGCCAACTTCGCGCCACTTGGAGACCATAAGCGCTTTGTCCTTCCGTAAAATGGAAATCCAGTTTCGTCTTCGCGAAGGCATTCCCGCACTCTCCGCTTTCCTTTTTCTTTTCGTACTCTTCCCGCATTTTAAGCACGCACCGCGCGTCTTATTTCGGGAATGTTTTCATGATTTTTACGCTTGTTTTCGTTGAACGTACACGTAACGTACGCCTAAAATATTCACAGGATAAATCAAATAAAATCTCGAACCATTCTTGCAAAAACAAATGCAAAAAAGAAATTATTAACAGATCATGAAAATATCGTTTATGAAAATAAATACTTAATACACTTAAAAAAAAAAAAAAAGAAATCTTCTCTTTATCTATCTGCTCACAAATATATATATATATATATATTTTACATTAAATCACCCAAAACAACAAGTTACGTAACACAATCTAAGTTACGTATCACAATTTTTCCCAGCCAATTCTTCGATCCCCCCTTACGTTCCTATAAGAAGAAAAAAAGCCTACCTAACCACTCGACCAAGCAAATTAAAACCCAGTTGACGTTTCCCATCCACCATCCACCTACCGTATACGGTCCACCTACCAAAAATCGTGGCGAGGAAACTCTCCTTTCCCGTTCGCCATTGATCCATCGGCACGTTGCAACGGGAACGTTTGGTTTAACCAACCAAAGCGGCCGAAAGCGTGGATCGATACGTGGAGGCCGTGGAAACGTTAGAAACTTGAGGGGGCGCACGGATAGGAGCGCGGCAAGTTCCGTTTCCGAGGCGTCGCCGCCGCCGCCGCATGCCATCGTGTACTCTCTACGCGACGCCCGTACGCTCGATCGTGGACGCGTCGGGACGCGCGCGTGCACGCACGTACCGCGGGAGGGAGGGGGGAGGGGGAGGGGGAGGTGTTGGAGAGGAGAGGTGCCGCTCTATGTGCCAGTGAAATTTGAATAATTTTCCTTCGATCGTCGATTCCTGGCATGCGCGACCGAATAACATAGATTCGCGGGGGGCAAATTAAATAAAAGGGGCGGGCCACTCCTCCGTCAGTCGCAGTTCGATCGGCGATCGTTCGTCTCCACAAGCACGCGCGGGATAACGACGGGTGGTCGTTCTTTGTTTTTTTTTTTTTTTTTCCTTCCTCGAGAGAAATAGGAGGGAAGTTTTATATATATATATATATATATTTTATATTTTCGATCATTGGAGGAGAGGATGAGGCAGTTGATAGCAATCGTAACGATCGTGTCTACGGTGGGAGGATGTTTGGCAGGGCAGGATTTCCTCTCGAAATCGTTGAACGAGTGCATAGCAGCCGAGTCTTGGCTGTCCTGCCTTAAGCAAGAGGTGCTCGGATATTTGGACGGGAAGCTTGGAACGAGCACCGAGGCGAGATCCTTGGACACAGTTGACGAGGCTATCGTCGCCAGGACGTTCAAGTATCTGAAGAGTTTCGACTACGGGTTAGATCTGCCTTTCGTGGACGCGAGCCTCAAGTACAGGCCGAGCAGGAGTTTGGCGGATCTGGATATCGAGTTCAATGGGAACGAGGTGGCTACCAGCCAGGCAAGAGGGATGTTGAAGAAGAAACTGTTGCTGCCCTTCCTGCTCCTCTTGAAATTGAAACTGAAGGCCCTTATGCCGATCCTCGTCGCCGTGGTTGGGTTGAAGGCGTTGAAGGCTCTGATCCTCTCGAAACTCGCCGTCCTCCTCGTTGTTGGATTCATCGCTGTTCAATTGTTCAAGAAGGGTGGAATGATGATGCCAATGGGTACGTTTTGTTCCGCGCAAATTTAAAATTTAACCGGAAATTGCAAATTGTGTTTTCATTGGGTTCGAGAGAAAGAGATTAATTAAGCTCTCTCTCTTTCTCTTTGCGTCTCTGTCTCGCAGGAATGTCGATGGAACCGGCTACACCGGCGTACGGAGCTCCACCTATGCCCTCGACCACGTCGAGCTACGATCCGGCGAACACGTGGGACGGAAACGGTCCTTATTCCCGCGTATGGACGCCGACCAACGGTGTGGAAGCGCAGAACCTAGCCTACTCTTACTACTCTCCGAGCAGCGGCTCCAACACTTATACCGGCTCCTCGTCCTCCTCGTCCTCCTCGTCGTCGGTCAATTCAGCCAGCTCGACGAACTATTAGACGATTATACGGATGGTCGACTCGTTTCCCCCCTCCCTTTTTTAACCCTCATTTTTAACGACGGATCGATCGCACGATCGAGAGACCAAAGAGACATACGCACGCCAAATAATCGCCTGAACGATTGGACGATCGTCGATCGGCCGATCGAACACTGTCGATCATTCTTGATCACTTGGTCCTGAAGTATTCTCGTCGAAGCGAGAACTTAGTTATTAATTAACGAGTTCTGTAAATTTTTTTCAGAATCATTGAATTGTTGAGAAAGATCGATGAGAGAATGGAACAATTTTAAGATTGTTCAGCGTTATAAATAAATTAGGAATTGGACGAACGGTTTGCAACATGGAATCGACAGGAGACGACAGAGCCGTCCGGGCGACGAGGAGAATTCGAATCTCGCGGCTGGATGGAATATATCTCTTTTCTTCTTTTTGTAATAAACTCCGGAACGTTGTTGCTTCCTTTATTTATTATTACTCGCGCGGCACGATTATTTATTATTGCCTCCCTCGCATTTGTTAATAAAAGCATATGAATAACAATGGATCATTCGTCCTCCTTTGTCTACTCCTTTCGACTTCCTTCGAACTGATGGAATTAATCTCCCTTGGAAATTTTTCAACTTGCGCCAGGGCAAATGTACTTTCTTCGATTCTCCTAATTGAAGTGAAATAATTCCGTTGAAAGCGCCACGATGTATGTCGTACTCCTTGCACTGCTGCACGTCTGATAATTTTCAAACAACGGGGACGTAGTCAACTTAAAAATTAAATTAAATACGTAAGTGTATGTTATTCGTTCAATCTGCATTCTTCTTATTGAATTTACTTTAATTAATTACGAAATATTTATATATATATTTATTTTTTGGAATCTATAAGAAAGATATATAAATACCTTGAAATTAGTGAAAAGAAATAATGTTTCACCATTGGATAACAAAAATTATAATTTATAATGAATGAAAAAATTTTTTTATATCAATAATATATCGATAACAGAAATTAAAAATCCATGATGGATCTCAAAGTAGTTTGGGATGTTTGCCGGTAACTCGAATTTATCTTGGGTAACCTTTTCAAGTTGCAGGACACCAGCTGAAGATGGCGCCAGTTCCACTTCTCTGAAATCTCAGGTGTTACCTACCGGCCTATCAAATATAGAACATGACATTGAACTCTACTACGCTCATTCCTTATCGATTCCTATATTAATATCACCAATAATTCCAACAATCTTAAAACACACAAGAAATAATCATACTCGAAATGATAAATGAAACAGATTATAGGAAATTATAGCATCGTAAGAAGAGAACGAAGAATATAAGACGACCAAATGGAGAATTGAAACTCCTTTTTTCAAATCCATTTGAAATTTGCTTCAACAAAAAGATCGCTGCAAGAGGAATATAAAAATATCCTTCAGGATCTGTACAATCGCAAACAGATCCTTGTTAATCTTCTAAATTTACAGGATTAACGTGACCCTTTCCTCCACCCCTTGTCGTCCCTAACGAGGCGCAAGCGTTCTTTTCGACAAAGACAACCCTTTCACCTTTCTTCCGTTGAAAAAAAACCGCACTGACCAGAAAACTCGGTAAAAGTTTATGATCCGAAAGGTGGTGGCCCAGGGGTAAATTCTCCGCTCTCGAGTGTCGAAGCGAAAGGATTTCGCTTCTTTCGAGGAGCATCCTTCTTGACAATGGTGTAAGCCTCCTCGAGTTGTGTTCTAACTCGAGAATCGAGGATAATCCTCTTCGAGTCTTAATCCTCTTCACCTCTTCTTTGACCGCAGCATTTCCTCGCCTGGTGTAAACATAGCAGGAAAAGGGATTCGAAGAGAAAGGATGGCTCGAAGGGTGGATAATTAATGGGGAAAATTGATAGAGTTGTCGACTTCATGGGTGTTGTTGTAACTTTGAATTGGAAGATTGGAAAGGAGAATAAATTTATAAGACTCATATTTTTCTCGATTATAATCGAGAAATTAAAAGAATGAATCAATGCAATGGAAATTGAATTTTGGAGAATTTTAAAGAATTTTCTATTTTCTGAGCACTGTTGATTATTGGATATACTCATCGATTCGTTTCTATTTGTCTGCAAATATATCACAAAAGCATGTTATCTAGAAGAATATTTAATTGTATAAATTTTTAATAACATATAAAGGAATACGAATGTTTGGTGACTTCAACGAAAGGATAAGCGCGATCGATATGATATCAATTGGAAAATATTAATCATTATAAATTTTTGAAACGAAATCAAATTTTCATAAATAATTTCTACTGGAAAAAACTAAATAATATTGTTTCAAAAACTAGTTAGAAAATCGAAAGATCTATCTACATTCTTAAAGACATCTTTGAAAATGCAGATTAATTTTTTAATTGGAGAGACAAAGAGTAATTCGTTTACATGACGTGGATTATCTCATTTTTTGACAAGTTTTAATCAATTTCGAGGGAAAGACCGGTTCGAGGCGCAACCCTTTTTCCAGAAACCTTCTCCCTTCAACGGTTCGGTCTCGTTTGTGCCCAAATCATCGTCATCATCCTGAATGCCTTGTGGTTTTTTTCAAACCGTCCATTCTCACGGTCTACCGAAACCATCGTCATCTCCCCTCCCTTTCCCTGCACTACATAAATTCCCTGTACACTCATAAATTCATCGTCCTCGTCGTACAGCTTGTTAACAGAGTGTTATTAGCGTTATCTTCGACTAATAGTAATTGCCTCGTGGAAAAAGTCATTAGCGAGGCAATGATAATCGAATGAGTTATTAATTCTGATCCAACACAAAAACGTGATAAAATAACGAGAAAGTGTGTCCAATTTTCCATACGTATATTTCTTTCTACAAATTTAAAACATGATAATAACTGAATAATATTACTAAATCAATTATTTAAAATTTATTCAAGAAATTTGTTACAATTTATTTAATTTACAAATCTAATTTAATTAATTTTTGGTCAGAAAACAATATATATATTTTTCTCTTGAAATCCCAACTTAACAATTGGCGATTGATAAAATTCAAGCATCAAGAAGAATAGAAAAAAAAATTTAAACTCGTGTTAAGAGATTACAAATTCGTAAGAAACACGCACATGTGAAAATAAATCCAAGATCAAAGTTCTCCGTCTCGAGTGTCCAGGACCGATCGAATAAAGGCACGATCCTGCGAGCGATAGATCGATCGCACAGGATGCGTAACTTCCTGCATTTGTATTCCCTCGTGTGCATGGACACTCGAGGGATCGAAAAACTGTCGGCGTTCCTCGACCAACCATCCGACCAACCGTTGCACCGGTTCCTTCCTTTTTTTTTTCCTCCGCTCCTTTTTTTCTCCTCCTCCTCCTCCTCCTCCTCCTCCACGATCTGGAACTATTAAAAAACGCTCGTCGAAAACTGCGGATCCTTTGTAAAATGCAACGAGAGGGTGGCAGCCACGAGAGGACGGGGTGTAGGCTAGACAGGCTGTTACACAACCGGAAGGAAATCTGTAACACAAGGATTTCGACAACCATCTCTCGTCATCGTCTCGATTGAAAAGAGAGAAGAAGAAAAAAGAGAAGAAGAAAAAAAGAAAGGAAAAGGAAAAACGTGCACAGCCTCTTCGTTTGCGTAATTCCTTCCGCCTTCTTACGCATCTGTCGCTGAAACTGCTATTTACACAATCGAATAAAAGAATGTATTTCGTAATAACGTTCATTGTACGAAGATGATGAGATTGGAGAAAAGCGTATATATATTTTTTTCTCCTTTTTTTTTTTTTAATTATAATTGACAGAAGTAACCAAACAATTTTAATTAACTAATTATATAGAATATTGTGCTATATGAATTTGTTATATCAGAAGAAGAAACTGTATACAAAAATACATCGTAAAATGAATTCCATTAAAGCGATATATAAATAAATAACCAAGAACTGGGATATATATTTCCAATACGAAAAATCAATATTAAATTTTCTACAGGAAGTATTTATATATATATTTATTATAATCCACATAAATATTCAGTCAAGGGATTATTTTCTTTTCTTTCTCTCTTTGTCCCAATATAAATTGCAATATAAAATCGCGAGCTTCTCCTCTCTTCATTCTATATTGATACTCGTAATTTAAAGTGCAATTGCAATCGCGAAAAAATTAAACAGTTGTTCGTCGAAAAAAATGGTATCCTCCGCGGAAGAGGAGGAAACGCGCTCGCGTTCTCGCATTTCGACGCAAGAAAGTTTGTGAACGCTGGCTGGCAAATGGTTCGTCGCCACTTTCTTTCCCTCCCTCCTCATCCCCCTCCCTCTCTCCCTCTCCCTCTCTCTTTCTCTCGCCGATTGCGTAACGAGAAATCGATCTTCGTTGCATCGATACGATATAGCGGGACACACACACATATACGTGTACGCACGCACGCACGCACGCATGCGTCTTATATGCGGCTTGCGGTGGATTGCGTAATTTCGTTTCGTCGAGCGATCTTTTCCACGGCTGGGCTTCCCTCCAATTTAATTTCAACAAGGACAAGCGGCCGCCGCCGTGTCGCGCTCGTGCCCCGCCGACATTTAATCGAGCCGTGTATATGTACATATATGTACATATACATATGTGCGTATGGCATTTGACTCGTCTAATTTCCTCGCTCCCTTGCAAAATCCTCTTCGAGCGGATAAGCCGAGCTTCGCCTCTTTCCCGTTACTTTTTTTCTTTTTCTTCTTCTTCTTCTTCTTCTTTTTCTTCCTTCCCTAAGGCTGCGTTTTTCCCCTCCCCTCGCGTGTGCCATCGGTTGACATTTGCGACCGACTGGGACACGGATCGCCACGATGGAGGCGAACGGAGGTCGCCGAGTGGTATCTCGAGACCAAGTGCAACTATAAGGGAATCATGGGATGGTGAACTTAGAAAAATTCGAGTATCTCGAGACCAAGTGCAACTATAGGGGAATCATGGGATGGTGAATTTAGAAAAATTCGAGTATCTCGAGACCAAGTGCAACTATAAGGGAATCATGGGATCGTGAACTTAGAAAAATTCGAGTATCTCGAGACCAAGTGCAACTATAAGGAAATCATGGGATGGTGAACTTTAGAAAGAACTTTAGAAAGAAAAATTTAGGGGATGCGCGTGTAAAATATAGCACGATATGATACGATGATATCGAATTATATTTGTAGTGGAACGTAGTGTATTAATTTAACTGTTTAAATTTATCGTCGATCTTTGGATTCCTGGTCGTATCGATAACAAGAAAAGGTGAGAGAAAAGAGGGTGGTGTGTTCGATCGTTTTCCGATACGATCGGTTCCCGAATTTCGAAGAAGAAGAAAGTAGCCGATGGAGCAAGTTTAAGCACAAAAAAAAAAGAAGAAAGAAGAAGAAGAATTAAGAGGCGGACTATATTTCAGAAGAAAGAAAGCAAAAAAAAAAAGAGAGGAGGGGG